GTCTTAAGTCTACTAAAATGTTGACTTGAAAAAAAACTCTCGTTTTGAGTAAAAAGTAAGGTTATTAAGATGATCTTATTTGACTATGAATACATCAACAGTTTGTAATTCTTAAGATCGTCTTAAGTGATGACTATGAATATCTATTTAATTACACATCTTGGCTAAGATCAAACTTTTAAGCATATCTTAAGATTGCGTCTATGAATGTAAACGCTAGCTTAAGACCATGCTTAAGGCGGACTTGAATAAGAGCTTGTTAGATGAAAACAAAGTTTGTGCTGTTTTCATCAAATTCAGAGCAATGATAGCAACATCAGGCTCAATTTCGGCATCCATAACAGCTGGACCTCCTTCGGTTGAAAGTTGCTGTTGTTTTTCTTTAATTAAAGCATTCCTTTGCATCAATTTTAAATGAGCCTTTTTCCTGAGAGTAGTACAGCGAACGTGTCACGACAGGCAGCACTCGTAGTAGGGACAAACATAAAATATTTTTATTTAAGACTGTGTTATTTACGCTATATTATTTTATTATTTAAAAATAATATTTAAACAAAAAAAAATTTTGTTAATAACCACTATGCCAACAAAACATTGTAGTTTTGCGAGGTGTATGTCGGATAATTGCTATCCAGAGGAAAAAGTGTTTTTTATACCATTTGTAAGACCTCATATTGACGAGGTTAGATGCAATAAATGGATACATGCGTCAAGGAGAGTGGATTTAACAGTAGAAAAAATTAATAAATATTCATATGTGTGCTCAAAACATTTTATCGGTGGAAAAGGTCCAACTGTAGAAAATCCTGATCCTGTTTCTGCAACGATTAGCAAAGTAAGTAATAATAAAATTTATCTGAAAACGAATATTTGCAATTGGAGTAAAACTAAATTTGTTCATGAAATTTTATTTATTTCCTAAGCTCGAAAATTAATTAATGTCAGTCTGAGTTAAAGTCATAAATAATTGGCAATTTTATTACTGGAATAATAAATTAATTAAAAATAATTTTCTTATCTGTTTGAAAAACGTTTTATAGTAACAAATTTATAATTTTTACAGGTACCAAAGGCACGAAAAAAAACGACTTTCAACATCAACAATTGATTTTCTGTGCAGTCCAGACCAAAAATGAAAAAGAGGCAAAGATGCTAACTCAGATTTTTTCATTCCAAGTCAACAAAATGATACTCAAGATATTTTAGTAGACGACTATTTAACTCCTAAATTTACTGAACCACCACCAAGTGGCAAAGAGCACACCAATCAATATGTAGCTCATGCAGAAAGTCAAACTTGTATAGAAGTTGAAAGTATTCTTGTGAAAAAACTACAAAATGAAATTAAAACACTTACGAAAAAATTAAGTGCATCTACCCTTAACTATGAATCATGTATAAATGACAGTAAGAAGTTTAAGTTTTATACAGGTCTTATGCCAGAAGATTTTGCTATTGTGTGGAATTTCTTAGGACCGCCAACTGAATCATTACTGAGGATCTGGCACTCACAATCAGGAACTAATAACCGCATAACGATAAAGCAATTTAAAGTATTATCGTTAAAAAATCAACTTTTTTTAACCCTTGTGAGATTTAGATGTGGTTTTTTATTGTACGATTTGAGTTGTTGGTTTGGTGTGAGTATGAGTTGTATTTCAAAAATAACAAAAACATGGATCCAATTAATGTATTGTAAATTTAAACCACTAAATCGTTACCGCTAGTTTTTTACTAGAGTTTGTATACTAATCTGTCAATTCATTTTTTTCGGTAACTTTTAAGTTACGGTACGCAAGCCAACGTTTTAATGTGACAACATTATTGTCTTTTACGGTTGCAAATTTTAATTTTGCTCCAGAAACGTCGTCTTCGGTCAAAAATATGTTTTTTATAAGTCTACTTTACTATGTGTTTAAATGGAGCTCTGACAGTGTTTGTCCCTACCGAACTACTAGCGCTACTAGTGAGTAATTTTTCGAACTTCAGAAAAAAGGCTCATTGGACCAAAGTTTTTTAAGTTGTGTAATTGACCTCTGAAATATTTTCAAAATTATAATTAACTTGATATGCAACATAATTATATCATAGAACTTTACCTTTTCTGAAATAATACTTGACGAATTATATTCATCAAGAATTAACTGCCAAGCTTCTTCTTTCTTACTTAAGGAAGCAGAATAACTTTTTTTATTTTCCCCTACATTTGAAAATTTCTTTAATATCTCAAGGAAATACTTTTTTTCGATGTTTGTATAATTCGTTCTTTTCCGGACATTTTTCTCAACTTTTAAAATTTTTATTATTCTTATTGATTTATCTTTATTCATTTTATATTTCTTTAAAAATTTATTTGCGCTTCATTTGTTATATGTGTGTATGATACATTTTAAGCGAATCAAAAATTATCGGATACATGAGAATTATTACGAAAATCGACGAATATAAATTAAGATTATTTTAAGCGTCATCTTATCAAAGCTAAGCTTAAGTCACGTATGATACAAAAGTCTTACCTAAGATCATCTTAATGTATTTCTATGAATACATGTAGTCTTAAAAGCTATAAGACGAGCTTAGCTAAGATAACCTTAAGGATTGCCTTGAGACCGGACTATAAATATCGCGGTTAGTGTCTAGCTATGGGGTAGCGCTCAAATTTATGGTGCGCTTCATCTAACGGCGCGAGTCATATGACTCGGCCACCGGGCCTCTGGAATGCCCGGGCGGCCGGCCCCGTTATCAGCATGGGTAGACTAAACATCCTCCTGGTGCTCGATTACGATGGAAGGGCAAGAGAAGGTGCTATCTATCGCTGCCTTCGCGTCAGCGACGATCATTCTCTGTCGGGCTTCTTAATTGTAAAGACGTAAATAAATCGGAAGTATTTTAATCAACGCTTTTAG